GCATGTACTAAGGTAGAGAACACCGGGGAAGAGGCACATTTGTGATGCGGATGGGAAATCAAGAGCTGGCCTTTCTGTGAACATTTAATTTATTTACTGTTTCTGTTATTATAAACAATGTGGCTGTAAACATCCTTTTATATATTTCCTGTGCACATGGGGATTAGACATATTCGACAGCACACAAATAGGAGTAAAACAACTGGGTCTTAAAATGACTGAGTCTTCAATTTTAATGTTTTAAGCAATTTTGAAAAGAAAATTTGTGTGCACAAAGTATTCTATAAGTAAGGCAAAGTTCACATTATAAAAATTGAATTGTAAGATTGTGTTTAGGCATATACATTAATTGTGGGGTCATTTTGGCCAAGTTAATCTCCTCCGGTTCTGGTTTCATAGGCACCATTAAATAGATAGATGGAGACTAAAAATGATACAACAGTGACAGAGTTCATTATTTTGGGATTAACAGATAATCCTACACTATGTGCCATCTTCTTTGTCATTTTTCTAGCAGTTTATATAGTTACCATAGTGGGAAATATCGGCATAATCCTCTTAATCCGAAGCAGCCTGCAGCTTCACACCCCTATGTACCTTTTTCTCAGCCATTTGGCCTTTGTGGACATCGGGTATTCCACATCAGTCACACCAGTCATGCTCATCAGTTTCTTAAGAGACAAAACTACTATCCCTGTCACTGGCTGTATAGCCCAGCTTGGCTCTGATGTCGCTTTTGGGACTACGGAGTGCTTCCTACTGGCCACCATGGCCTCCGATCGCTATGTGGCCATCTGCTCTCCCCTGCTCTACTCCACCCACGTCCCCAGTGGTCTGCTTCCTCCTACTGGGGGCTGCCTACCTGGGTGGATGCATGAACGCTTCATCGTTCACAGGCTGTTTGATGAACCTGTCTTTCTGTGGCCCAAATAAAATCAACCATTTCTTCTGTGACCTCTTCCCACCCTTGAAGCTTTCTTGTGGCCATGTCTACATTGCTGAAATATCTCCTGCCATCTCTCCTGCATCTGTCCTTAAAGGCACACTGTCTACCATCGTCGTCTCCTACATCTGCATCCTCCACTCCATCGCGAACATGCACTCAACTGAGGGCAGAAACAAGGCTTTCTCTACCTGCCCTTCCCACCTCACTGCAGTCACTTTGTTTTATGGGACAGTTTTGTTTGTTTATGTGATGCCCAAATCGAGCTATTCAGCTGATCAGGTTAAAGTGGCCTCTGTGATCTACACTGTGGTGATCCCCATGTTGAACCTCCTCGTCTACAGTCTGAGTAACAAGGAGGTGAAAGAGGCCATGAAAAAACTGAGAGCAAGAACATGTTGGTTTTCCTGAATTAAATCAGATATGAATCCATAAATAATAAAACCAATGATTTGGGGAACATCTGTGCTTGGTATTTCAACAATATTTATCATTAACTTCATTACTCATATAGTGAAGAATTCCTATAAATATATTTACTTATAAAAATGTTTACTTCCATTAATGAGGTTGAATGTGTCATTTATGTGGACATCTGCTGGATTCAAGTTAAATATGGATTTTTCAAGGTAAGAATACTTCAGGGAATAGTTTCTAATAAAATCTCCCCCACTCACCAATTATAGTCCTATTTAAATTGAGACAAAATGAGACATATTTCAATCAAAGATCAAATT